TACAAAAGTAACTTTTTGTAATATTTAAAAAACATAATTTTCATGTATTCCAACCGATTCTCACGATCCAGATGGTCGCAAATCTATGACTGAAAAAGTTGATCAATCGATGTGAAATCGATCATCAAAGTGAAATGCATGCGCAAAACAAACGCCGTTTCCAACCCTATACGTATATCCTATATACAAATATACAGGCAGCGACTGATAACCGTAAGGCGATAACGGGATGTACATTGGACATGTAAAAAACAATGATTAATCAAGAAAAAATAGAAGGTCCAACGAGGCGCCTATAGATTCAATAAAGAAAAGTTAAACTTCACCCCCTCTCTCTCTCTCTTTTATCTTTTATTTCGTTTAACGCACAAACGAAGCCTGGTCCTGCCGCGAAACCGAATGACCATTGGTCAGTGATTTATTCAGGGTTATTGTCCCAGCCGGGGTTTTTGTCCCTGCGAATGCACAGCGCAGCCATTCGACTCTCAATTTTCTTTTTCTTTTTACTTTTACTCTCCCGTATATATTGTACTCCCTATTCCTCGCTCGCTCCTCCCTTCCTCGGCCAGACTCCCACTCTCACTCTCTCCTTTCTCGGTACGCGGCATCCGAAAGGGCAAGAACTCCTGGACCAGTGCTTGAGACGTACATTACTCAGCCGGACCGTACAGACTTTTTTCCATAGGTGAAACCGTATAGTCTCCGCGTAGGGATTCAATGTGGCGAATGTACCTTGACAAAAATCAAAGGGGAACCAGAGCTCGTGACGATGAGCGTACGGGAAGATTTTTGAAAGAAAAAAAATTTAACATGTAAACCCGCAGAGGGCCGGCATATTTTTCGTCTGACGTCTTTCAGATACCAAAGCAAAGAGTCGTGTGCACGTGCGACGTATATTTCGCGTGAAAATATCGTGAAGGTTTGAGGAAAGTATGATTAAAAAAAAAAAAAACAAATGTATCCAGGGGCCCTAGGAAGGTCAATCAAGCTGGTTGACGGGGCAAAGGACGTGACAGCGTAAGGACGCGAGTCAATGTTAATTCAATGTTCCACCGCGTCATTACAAAACCCAACGTCGTACGGGACCGGGTGTGATAACGGCATTGTATCGTCCGACCCTGTGCTAAAGTTTTCACACGCGCCTATTCCTAATCGCCTGACCTCGACGTACAACGTGGTTTCAACTAATTGTACACGATTAAGATTGGCCGTTATCGAAACCAGCCGCAGGCCTCGTCGCCATTCGGGCTTAAGGAGTGGACTGGGCCGATGACCACGTGGTAAGAAAAATAAAAAGCGTCGGTCGCACGATAAAAAGAAAAAAGGAGACGAAAGTCGCTGGAGGAGGGAAACAAAAAATCCAGATCCCATTAATTTTCCCAAATGCACCCCTTGACTGGTCACGAGGGTGGAAAATTTGTCCCGCGCAGGACTGTCAACACTTACGTATTTATACCTAATGAAATTTTCGAGGGTGTATCCAGCAAGTTGGTACACGCCATAGAAAACCATACGTTATACACGGTGTCCAGTAATTACGAAATAACGTTGCTTCCACTTTCCGTGGGATCGGACGAAAAATTAACCATGAGAATAAGAGGGACAAAATTAGGGTGGGAAAATGAAATCGAACAACCCTCAAGATTATTACGCGTCTCTGACGTACTGAGGTACCAGTAGTAAAACTACCCTCCGTTTTCAGTATTGATTTCCATAGCCACCAAACACCACAGCCTTCCGCTCGTGGGGTTGTTTATACTGCAGAAGCGCCATAGAGAGCGCTACAGTTAGAATGGATCATTGGCCGGGTGCCGTTGTAAATTGCCTTCGATTCAGTCGCCTCGTCCAATCATTGGAATTCACCCCACGAGTCCAGCGTGCGGACTCAGCGAGAAGCGTAGGGGCGAGCGTGAAAGATAAATGGAAAAGAGAAGGGAGATAGGGAGGGAGGGAGGGAGGGAGGGAGGGAGGAGAGAAAAATAGAAAAGGAATCCGTTCAACTTGCAAAGCGCGCTGAATTTGAATTGGACTTTCCTCCGCCAACCCCATGGTCAATTTCAGCATCGGCTCCCGTTCAAGCCCAGCGGCCATTTTCGTTGCATCGCCACCCTCCGCCGTCCCAAAGTCGCCCAATGCACGCATATAAAATACCCATGGAGAGAGACGCGTACAGGAGCTGCCACCCTAATAGTCACTTTTATCCTGAACCGAAAAGGGGACCCCCTCACCGTGTCTACGGTCGCCTTTATTGCGCCAATAATAAAGATCCCATTATTTATTATAGGCGTATCAAATGCGTAATCGGCATGCTGTGTACAAGCGTATGGCTAAAGAAAAAATTCCTATGATCGTCGTAAAGACGTAAGAGAAGAGAAGAGACAAAAGAAAGAGAAAGAAGAAAGTCAACCGTCCAAGAAAAATCGCAAGTCAGTTTATCGGACGAAGACTCGATCGATGTAAATAATGATTCTCGTGCGGCAACAAGCTAGTCGTCCATTTTTCTTTCCTCTCCCCCCCCCCCCCCCCCCCCCCCATCCC